GAATTCTTACTCTACATTCAACTTTTTGGAGAGTTAGTTTTGTTAAATTTATCAACTGATTTAGTATTTCTAGTCTTACATTGCTTTGAACAGTTCTCTTCTATTCACAAAGTTGTAGGCTACTTGGTAGACTATAAATATGTGGATGAGTGTCAATATTATATTCCAGTGTTTATTCTAAAATTTGTTTTAGGGTTGAAATCTGACGAATTATCGATTTTCCATCTCTAAAACCAGCCTGGTATTTCCTACTATCCGTTCTGCATATGGGACCATATGTGCAGTGGAAAATATCTTATACGCTACATTTAGAAGCGTAATTGATCTTTTTGTGTATGGTGCAAAGTATTCCAATATTCTATTTATTGGAGGGGATTAATCTGTCCATACTTCTCTTATAAGCTGCTGTATTGCCTTTATGGTATGGTGGTCACCTTGTTTGTATAGTTCAGCTGGAAGATTATCTATTTCGGGTGATTTTGTTTCTGGCTAGTTTTTAACTGCATCTTTAACTTTTTAAGAATCGTTGGTGGTTCCTCTGTTCTCTCGTCTATTCCCCCTACCTCATCTCTTTCGTCTTCCAGATTTTCTTCTTTTTCCTCTATTTTAAGTGTCTGGTTAAAGTATTCCACCCATTTATTCAATACATCTTTCCTTATCATTAATAGGTCGCCATTCTGACTTTTGCATTGTCTTGTGGTTGCCTTAAATTCTTTTATGTTGACGTTAACCTTATTATAGAATGCTCGGATTTTTTTTTTCTCTGTTGATGTTTTCTATATATGTAAGTGGTTTCATTTTTTTCTTTTGTGTATCCACTTTTCTTGTCTTCTCTTTGTCTGGTAATTCTTTACAGTTGTTGTAGTTCGTCGTGTAAGCATCTTTCTGCAGGCTTCTTTTTTTTTCTTTTGTTGCATGCTGGAATTCATCGGTAAACCAATGATTTTTACGGGAAACCGTATGTATGTAATGTTTTGCTGTGGCTTGAAAAGAAATGTAGTTTAGAGAGGTTAGGTTACGTCAAAAAGAATATTATCAGAATATTTAATGGTCTTTTTTTAATTGTTGTTATTTTTACAGCTTTTCTCTTCTGTGACGTATATTACGACACTTTCGGTCCTGTTAACCTTTTTCTAGTTCAGTCGTCAGATAGTTAACCCCTAAAAATCATAAAAAACTAGCTGAATTTTAAAAAGTATATTAATTTTAAGACCCCAAAAATTATGCATAAATGTTTACGACTTTTACTACCGGTCGTCTTCCTAAAACCCCTCTTGTAGTGGGGTAAAACGCAAAAAAATCAATTAACCAACAAACTATCATCAATATCAATCAGCCAATTGCGTCCACTGCTGGACATAGGCCTCCCTCAGTTCTTTCCAGTGTTCTCTACACTGGGCCGCTTGTAGCCAGTTTCCCGCTACACGTTTAATGTCATCGGTCCATCTAGTCGGTGGTCGTCCTCGGCTTCTTTTATAATTTCTGGGCCTCCATTCCATAATACGTCTTGTCCACCGTCCATCTTGTGTTCTGGCTAAGTGCCCTGCCCAGTTCCACTTAAGCGTCGTGGTTCTTTCGATGACGTCTTGAACTCCTGATCTTCGCCTGATTTGTTGGTTTGTTATGTGGTCTCGAAGGCTCACGTTCAGCATTGCACGTTCCATGGCTCGTTGTGTAACTCTATGTTTATTCGAAGATTTTTGCGTGAGTGTTAAAGTCTCTGCTCCATAAGTTTGTACAGGTAAAACACATTGGTTATAAACCTTTTGCTTGAGACACATGGGAATTGAACTTTTTAGAATATGGCTTAATTTGCCAAATGCTGCCCATGTTAGACCTATTCGCCTCTGTATTTCATGTGTTTGATTGTCTCTGCTTATTTTGATTTCATGTCCCAGATATTTGTAAGTGTCTGTTTGTTGTATGGTATTATTGTCAATAGTTACATTTCCACTCATTACGAGATTTGTTATAATTTTAGTTTTCTCAAAGTTTATCTTTAATCCTGCTCTTTCAGACAGACTTTTAAGCGAACGCATCATAGAAACTGTATCATGTAAGTTACCTGCGATTAATACATTATCTGCAAACCTTAGATGATTTAATCTTTCTCCATCTATATTGATGCCCATATCTTGCCATTGAGTAAATAAAGTTGCCTTAAATATTGACTTTAGAGCTGCCGTGAACAATTTTGGTGAAATATTGTCTCCTTGTCTAACTCCTCGACCTAAGCTGAATTTTTCTGTGTCTTCGTGCAGTCGTATACTTGATGTAGCGTTCTGATAGATGTTTTTGATTAGTGTCGTGTACCTGTAATCTATTCGTCTTTGATTTAGGGCTTCCAGTATTGTTTCAAACTCTACAGAATCAAAAGCCTTCTCGTAATCGACAAATGCAAGAACCAGTGGTATGTTGTACTCGATGCACTTTTCTATTAAGATCTTTATGGTATGCAAATGGTCACTTGTGCCATATTCTGCCCTGAAGCCTGCCTGTTCTTTGGGCTGATAGAAATCAAGTTTAGGTGTTAGCCTCTTTGTTAAGATTTTTATAAAGAGTTTGTACATATGTGTCAAGAGGCTGATGGGTCTATAATTTTCTAATTTAGTAATATCGCCTTTTTTGTATAACAAGACTATTACTGCATTGTTCCAGTCTTTTGGAATCGTACCCGCATGTAAGCATTTAGTAAACAGTTCGCTTACTGATTTTAATAAAATTTCTCCACCTGCTTTTATTGCCTCGATAACGAGTCCATCATCACCAGGCGATCGATGTTTCTTCATTTCCTTTAAAGCTACTCTTACTTCTGACACAGTAATGGGTAAAAGTATTTCCGATCCCTGATTTATGAGAGTCTTTACTCGTGTCGGGAAATTGTCTTGTGGTCTTTGGCTGGTATAGAGGTCTTTATAAAATTCTCTAGTTATTTTCAGAATATTTTGTTTATCTGTTGTTGCCTTTCCGTCTTTATCTCTCAGCTTGTATATTTCTTTTTTACTTTGCGTAAGTTTTCTTTTCATTATCTTTAAACCTTTGTTTTCTTCTACTGTTTGAGTAATTACATTAGTATTATATCTTCTTACATCTTTTCTAATTTCCGCTGAAATTCTTTTATTTAGTTTTTTATATTCTTCTTTGTTTCCCTTTTCGTTCTCGCTTAGGTTTTCGTCGTTTCGTCTCTTATTTCCATGAGAGCCCTTGTATCTTTGCTAATATTTTCACTTTTGGTGTCATTTTTCTTGCAAAATTAACAACCTAACCTAACCTAACCAACAAACTATACGCCATAGAAAAAAATGTTTTGTGTACAATAAACTGTTCTCTTAGAAACAACGCTTGAAACAACCTCGATTTTGAATGTCAATTACGCGCGTTCAAGCTAGACGGTAAAAATTCGATATCTTTTGATCCAACTGTCCTATCGACAAAAATCAAAATGCGTTATAAAGGTAAGCAGTGCAGCTTTTGTATGAAGTTTTTGTATTTCGGCGAAAATAAACTAAATTTTTGTAAATGTGTTAAATAAATATGGCGCGATTTTTGCTGTTCTTTATGACTCTCGTGAGATAAATAAAATTTATCACTTTCATTGACCAGTCGTAGTAAAATTTTGAGTAATTTTAAGTATAAAAACAAAGCGCAGAATTTAATATTTTACATTAAAAACGAGCGCACGTCACGGAAACTGCATCAAAAAAGACGGTTTTGGGTGTAGTTTATAGCAACAGTTTGATTCATTTGAAAAACGTACTGGTGTAATTGAAAAAAGTTTTAAATGCTTCAAATCGTTTGTTACGTGAAAGTTTAAATATTTAGCTTTCAAACGCATCTTGATTTTTGTCGATAGCACACTTGAATCAAAAGATATCGAATTTTGACCGTTCAAATTACAAATTTTATTAAACATTGATTTCGCGCGCGTAACTGACATTCAAAATTGACGATCGCTTTATGCGTTGTTTCTAAGAGAATGGTTCATTCTACATAAAAAGTGCTTAATAAAATTTTTGTGTAAAATTATCTCAGCTACATTTTTTATTTGGAACATTTTTTCTACGGTGTACAGATTATTCGTTAATTGATTTGTTTCGTTTTTACCCCCCTACGAGGGAGGTTTTAGAAGAAAGCCCGGGGGTAAAAGTGGTAGACTTTTCTGCATCTTTTTTAAGGTTCCAAAATTATTATTCTTGTCAAAATTCAGCTTGTTTGTATGATTTTTAGGGGTTCAGTGGCATTTTCATCCGAGTGACCAACGGAGTATTCCTGTAATTTTAATTTTATTTTCCTGTTTCTTAATATTGTTCTGCTTTTTTCAGCTTATTCTCTTTATTTAGGTTAACCTTCCTACTTTTATTTTATCAACGCTATTTTTATTTTTAACATAATGTTTTTTAAAATTTCTTTTTTAAAAAATTTGTTCAATTTTACACAACGTTTTAGTGGAGCTGCTGGTGCTTTGAAATTTCGCGAGATTGTTCCTCATTTATTATTACAATTTTATCATTACCTAGAAACCTCAGTCGCATAAATTTTGGTCAGTCCCTTTCTTGCTATTAGCTTATCACAAATATCAAACTACTTTTTATTCTGGTATTTGTTAATTAATTTATTAGATTTTAAATGGTTCGGAATTGCTTAAAGGCTGTTGAATTGTATGAAAATAGTTATTCAGTATCTTTATCGTTAATATTATTTGACTGTAGTGTATTTTAACATTTTTTTTTATTTTAACTTTGCTATATTTAGGTTTTTATACCAGATAATTTCTGGAGTACTGCTACACAATAATAATGGCAGTAAAACCAATCTAAATGGAATCAAAAATCAAAAATAACGGATCTGCAATAGGGACGTCAAAATATTATTTGACTCAATTTGCAGAAATGTTATTTCACATATTTAATGTAAGGAGTAACTATTGTATCACTATTCTTATCAAAAATTTATATTTGATATGAAATTTTAAATATATCTTATTTAATATTTTGTTTCAGATTAACAAAATGACGAAAACGAAAGTGGATCTGTCTTCAATTTCAAATTTTAATTCAACGTAAGTATACACAACTTAATTTATTAATAATTTTAAAAATATTCAAATAACATTTAACAAACTTACCTCCTTAACATATCAAATAAGATACAGGGCGAAGTTGCAAATAAACAGCTGCAAAATTTTGCCGAAAATCCTATCAACCAAGATTTAATTTAAATGTTATAATAAGAAAAACTTGTTTTTAAATCTTTTAGACAAAATATAAGAAAGTATTAAATAGGATCAGTTTGAATTCAAAAATATACTTGGCAAAAAATTGCTTAGCCATATCTAACATTTATTTAACGTTTTTATTATTCTTCTCTTTTTCATGTTTTCATGACTATCTTCTATCGTTGTACATAAATTTTCTTCTCCTTCTTTTTAAACAATTCTGCTTGTTCATTGGCGGATTGATACCTCTATGGAAGGTTGTCATCATTTGCATAGTCGGCCGGTACGTCTTCTACCGATTGGTGATTTATATCTTACAATTTTGACCACACGGATCTCCCTCATTCTGCTTATATGGTTATTTCATCCCTTTTCTTGTTTTGTCTTCTTCTAATGTTTTCACTCTTTTTCGATTTCACAGCGAATTTTGTGTAATTCTTCTCAGTACTCTAATCTCTGCCATTTTCAGTAGTGTTTGTATTGTGGCTTTCTCGGGTCTTGTTTTTGATCCATATTTTAAATATTCTTGACTTCATCTCAGTTTTACTATGTCGGTTTCGCCATTTAGTATTTTAAAGCATTATGTGAGTCTATTTGCCTTTTATACCTAATTTCTCACTTCTTTTTCCATGTCTCTATAGCTAGACATTGCAATTTCAAGGTATTTTATTTCCATTACTTGCTTAATACTGATGTCATCGATTTCTATTTTACATCTGGTTGGTTCTTTGCTGACTAATATTGTTTTAGTTTTCTGAGATGAGCTCGTCATATTAAATTCTTTTGTTGTTATGCTAAATCTGTGGACTAGTATTTGCAGACTATCTTCGTGTGCAAAAGACGAGTATTATGTAAAAAGAAACTAGAAAAAAACACACAATCTATGGCAAACGATAGTAGAGAGAAAAAAATTATCAAAGCCCTAAAAGATGATGAGTCCATAGTACTATTACCAGCTGATAAGGGCAATGCAACTGCAATTATGGATAAAATTCAACACCAGGAGAAAATTCAAGATTTGTAGTCACAATGGGTCATACGTAGACCTTACAACAGACTAAAAACAATCAAACAAATCACTGGAAAACAAAATATATAAAACACTGCACAAATTTAAAGAATACCTAACAGACTACCAAAGAAGAACATTAATATCACACTGTAGCAGGACACCACATTTATATTGAGTTCCAAAAATTTACAAAGACAATGTACCCCTTAAACCGATTTGCGGCAGCACGGGTTCTCTTTGCAGCAGACTCAAGGTTCTTCCTAGACATAATTTCGCGTTCTAAAAGACAATTAAAAACTCACAATATTTCTTGCAAAATTTGGCAGAAATAAATTACAATTCTAACAATATGCCAGTCAGTTTGGATACAGTATTTTTACCAATAAATCATTAACGGAAACTTTAAAAATAATAAGAGGCAAACACGGGAGGGAAGATACACTTAATTTCAACTAAATAATGATATCTATAAGCAAAGTTTTGAATTAGCCATGGACTAATGCTTTTTTCTATTATTAGTGACATATTCATTGTGGATTTCGAACATAACATTGTACACATACAAGAAAAATAACCCAAAGTAAATAAATGCATCAATAATCACGAAATAAACACACATAAAAAAGAGAAAAGTCAAAGAAGCAGCCCTCATGCTACTTATCGAAGAAAAATGCTGGGTCAGCTGTGTGTGAAAAATGTGTTTATTATCAGACCAAAAATATGTTTATTATTTAGTTCATTGTTGTGGCCGATTCGTTTAGTGCTACATACGTCTCTTGTACAGAGTCCCAACAATTTTAATATCACCAGCATAGGCAAAGATTGCAAAGACAAATCAATATTGAACTGGTGGTTGTGATTTGTGATATACGTATTGGTGGATACCATTTTGAACATTTTATTAAATAATTACAGAGTCCCAACAATTTTAATATCACCAGCATAGGCAAAGATTGCAAAGACAAATCAATATTGAACTGGTGGTTGTGATTTGTGATATACGTATTGGTGGATACCATTTTGAACATTTTATTAAATAATTATAGCTGATAAGTACTGTTTTGAATTTTAAATTTACCAATCTAAAATTAAGTTGATTTTATTTACCTTGCATTTAGTAAAGTTTGCTATTAATGTTGCAAAATTTCGTTTTCATGTAGTTTTTGACAAAACGGGAAAAATTTAAAAATGACACTAGCAAAACATAGGCGTTAAGTTTAGTTATTAACCCATTAAGCGCCGTTGATGCGAAAACGCAACATTTTAAAAGGAATTTTTTTTATACAACTAAATATTTTGTTTTTAGAAAATTCTTTATATGTTTTAATTCCTAAAGGCTTGATGATATTGAAGTATATTTTATAGAACAAATATAATTAATTGTTTATCTATTATAAATTAATTTCTTCAGCAGTTTTTTACATGATTCGTCATGACTATATAATCTTCTTGTAGAATTTTCACTTTGCTTATAATATAATGGTTTATATGATTTTTATAAAGCATAAACTACAGATTTAGCAATAACCATACAAAAAAATTAAATAATTTTATCAAGAAGAAGTTACATGCATTCAAACTTATTGTTGCGTTTTCGCATCAACGGCGGAATGTGCTGTCTCTAGGTAATACCGCCTACGCTACGTGACAAATCGAGTGTAACCATATTTGACTAGTTCAGTCTGGTCTAGAGCGTTTTAGTATAAGCATATACAGCAATAATTGTGTTTCTCTGTATTGTTGCGGATAAAACATATATAATGAGTTCTGGCAAAAATAAGTGGAAAGGTAATTATGATCGGAATAGACCTCTTACTATTCAAGAATTGGAAGCTGCTATTGAAGAAATTCAAAATGAGACCGAAATTGATGCTGTTATAATACCACCAGATGTCGATGAGCTTACTGATGAAGAGGAAATAGATGACGATTTATTGGAAGGTATTATACGGTATAATTATATAAGATACTGTTATGTAACTTTTATTTTTTTATTACTTATAGGCCATGATAAGCCTCAAGACACTGCTGGGACATTCGAATGATGGCTGAGGACAACACAAATGAATTTGAAGATAATTATAATGAACCTTCTACAAGCCAGGCTACTTCAAAGAGGGCAAAATCTGTTCAATATAATCCAAACTTGAGCAAAAGGGACCCCGTATACAGTAATTTTCCGGAATCGCAAGAGCACATTCAAAAACAACGTATAAAGAACATGCTTTACGGTAAATCACCAGTTGAAGTATTTTATAATTTTTTTGACGAGGAATTATTAGACATGATTTTAAAATACACTTTAAAATATGCCAAGGACAACAATCGACATGATTTTTCAATGACAGTATCTGATTTAAAGAAATTTATTGCTATTTTGATCTTGTCAGGATATCACACGTTGCCACAAATGGAGATGTATTGGAGCAGAGATGAGGACAAGGGAGTACCATTAATTAAAAATTGCTTGAGTCGAAATAAGTTTCGCAATATAAAAAAATATATACATGTATGTGATATTGCTCAACTTGACAAGCAAGATAAGTTTGCTAAATTGCGCCCATTATTTGACAAAATAAACAAAAGAAATCTGCAGTTTGGTGTATTTTCACAAAATTTATCAGTCGATGAGGAAATGGTTCCTTATTTTGGTAGACACTCCGCTAAAATGTTCATCAAAGGGAAACCTGTTCGCTTCGGTTTTAAAATTTGGTGTCTTTGTTCTCAAGATGGATATTTGTTTCAGTTTAGTCCATACGCTGGAGCAAGAGAACATAAAAGTGATATGGGACTGGGAGCAGATGTTGTTATAGATCTATTAAAAGTTCTTAAATTTCCTTCTCAACACAGAATATTTTTTGACAATTTTTTTTCGTCTTTTAAACTATTTCAATATCTTACTGAAAATAATATATACGCCACAGGAACTGTGCGGGAAAACAGAATCCAAAAGTGTCCTTTAGATAGCTCAAATGATTTAAAAAAAGGGGGCAGAGGTGCTTTCGATTTTAGATATGATTTAAAATCCAAAATTTGTGTAGTTAAATGGAATGATAATTCAATCGTTATTATGATGTCAAATAATATACCAATAAATCCAATTCAGCAAGTAAAACGGTATGATAGAAAACAACGAAAAGAAGTAAGTGTAGACCAGCCATTTCTAATAAAAGAATACAACAAAAATATGGGGGGTGTTGATTTACACGATAACAGCATAGCCAATTATCGTATAAGAGTAAGAGGAAAGAAATGGTGGCGGCCTCTTTTTATAAATACTATAGACAGTACAATCGTCAATGCATGAAAAATTTATAAATTGGCAAATGACTCTACAATATCGCAATTAGAGTTTCGCTCTTATATTGTTATGGCGCTAATAAAATCAGAAGAAAGTAATTCATTATCAGCCAGCGACGATGAGGGTACATCAGCTCCTAAATACAAAGGACGAGGAAGGCCAACAAAGTCAGAAATACCGAAAGAAATGAGAACTGACAAAGTGAACCACATCGTAATACGCCACCCTGAAAAGTCAAGAAAAAGATGCAGACAATGTAAAAGCCAAACTATATATATATATATATATATATATATATATATGTGTGTCAGAAGTGCAATGTACATTTACACTCTACATGTTTTGACAGCTTCCATAAATTGTAATATTAGGTTTTATAGTTTTTTTACAAATATTTTATTTAGTTTTACTACTTTTGTATCTTTAATTTTGAAATAAATCTCATAATCCATAAAAGTGTATTTCATTAATTTCTTAACAGATTCCGCCATTGATGCGAAAACGCAACATTATTTTTTTAGAACACCCTGTAACCTAAAAAAAATATATCCAGTTTTGTCTTTAAAACACCATAAATAACTAACCCTTATATTATTTTTATAAAAAATTTACATATTTCATAACAGTTTAATAAACCTCCAGTTAAGAGGTGTAACAGTTTAATAAACGATTTAGAAGAAAAGAGTTAATATGAAAAAAAACATACCTAAATTCTTCAGCGAAATATATATTTAATGATATGCCACACAAAATAAATTCTCTTCTTAAAAATTAAGATTTGTTGTATTGAAAGGAAGGGGTGAATAAATGACAAATATTTATACCGTTAATAGATGTCATCTTCGGAATAAAAGTCGAACTGTTTTGGCATTTTTACAAAACCCAATAAATATTGTCAAATGTTAAGGTGGACACTTTTGAGCGCCAATCCTTTTATGTATCCAGGAAAACCTAAGTGTGAGAGGATACCGTAATAGCAATAATTAGGAGAACTCGAAAACAAAGGTCAATAATAAATAGGACTGAAAACTGATTCTGAAATAGATTAAGACTTACAAAGGGTTATAGGATCAAGAATGATCATGATACTACGAACTAAAGATAAACCCACGCTCACGCGATCAGTCTATCTCTTTTGTACGTGTGACGTCACTTGGCGACAAATGTCACCAGAAATGTTCTGTTTTGCATGAGGGTTTTGTCAGATTTAGTATTGTTTTATCGTTTATCTAGTACGCTGACAAATAAATGTGTGTACTTTTAGATAAAATAGTAAAATAATATAGAAAACATAAATGGATGGATGACAAAACGGAAACAGGAGTGGAACGCACACATTAGTAGATTTCCAGAGGATAGGATATTACAAATAGCACGAGATAAGTTACCAAACGAACGAAGAAGTATTGGCAATCCAAGAAAAAAATGGTGTAACAATTTAAACAATTTAGTAGGCTAATATTGAAGAAGAAACAGGCTTTAAAGCCTACATACAAGAAGCAAGAAGAAGTTACCAACTACGCAATAGTGTAATTAATGCCCGCGTGGGCATAAAGTGTACTTTATGGCCCGCACGGGCGTAAAAATATAAACAAAAAGATAACGTGTTAGAAAACATCTGAAATTAACATTTCAAAACATTATTTAGAATTCACATAAAACTGGCAATTCCGAAATATTAATAAATATTAATAAATAAAGATTAGGGATCTCAAAAATATCTTGTATTTTCACGATTTTAGTTTGACACGTTTGACAGCATTTCCGTAGCATAGCAACATAACACGAACGATAGAATATCTACTAGTAAATATATTGTCAAACTGAAATAAAATTTTCAGATGTTTTACAACATATTTGTAGATGAAATAACGAACTAGTATGATATAAAAGTTTGTATGCACCGCGCGTATTAATAGATGTACTCGCCCTCGGGCGACTTACAAACCCGAGGGCCAGAGGCCCTCATGTTTGTAACATCGTGGCCCTCTGGGCATAAACATCTATTTAATACCCTTGGTACATAACATGATACTATGACTTCCAAGATAAAACCACTTCGCAATCGAATTTTGTACATCGATGCGCATGATGTCACTTGGTGATAAAAGTTTATCTTAATTTAATATTCTGAAATATTCTTTAATATTCTGTTTTCTATATTTTATGCTTTTCTTATGTTTTCACTTCTCTCCCTATCCAACAGACTTTTCCCTAATATTCGTTGGAGTATTTTCATCTCTGTTGTTTCTAGTAGTCTTCTCGTTTTAGATGTGTCAGGTCTTATCTCCGCCGTGTATGTTAATATAGGTCTAATATCTGCTTTATAGATTCTTGTTTTTGTGTCTTGTCTTAAGTGTTTGTTCTTCTAGATTGTGTCATTAGGAGATCCCGCCGCTTTACTTGCTTTTAACCTTTGTTGTCGTACTTCTTCTTCAACATCTCCGTAACTGGTTATATCTATTCTCAGATACATAAACCCTGCTTGCTGCTTTATTATCTTTCCATCAATTTTAATTTTACACAATAGTGGGTATTTAGATGTTGTCATACATTTGGTTTTTTCTGCTGATATTATCATATTGTATTTTTTGGCTGTTGTATTGAAGATGTGTGTTAATCTTTGGAGTTCGTCTTCTGTCTCGGCGATTAATGCGGCGTCGTTTGGATAACATAATATTTAGATTTCTTTGTTCCACATTCTGTAGCCATGACATTTACTTACTGCTTGTATTATTTCGTCCATTATAATATTAAAGAGAAGTGGGCTTAACGAGTCACCCTGCCTAACTTCGCTTTGTACTGGTATACACTGTGTTAGTTTTCCATTTGCCTTTGCCTCTGTTGGACTATAGAAGTAGCTATTTTTGATGGTTTTGTATAATATTGATTGGTATGTTTCTTTTATACAGTAGGTGTAAGACTTCTTATGCGAACAAAAACCTTTGTCAGGTCTATAAAACATAGATATGCTGGTTTATTGCACTCAATGGCTTTTTCTGTCATTCTTCTTAGTACAAATACGGCATCTACGCAGGATTTTTCGGATCTGAATCCTTGTTGTTTATCTCATAAAGTTATTAGTTTATTAATTTTGTTGGTTAGGACTTTTGTGGTAAGTTTAAGGGCAGTGTTCAGTAAATTTATACCTCTATAATTGTTGGATAATTGTTTAACTGAAGACAATAAATCTACTTAACGCGTTTAAAATGTGGACATTTAGAAGATTGTTAGGAAAACTGGAGTTAAGCAATAATTTTGCTCTTAAACAGGGAAAAAGATTTGAACAACTGAATAAAATGATTCAGATGAATTCCAAAAAAGAAACAGTCCCTACATAATATATTAAAAAATATCTGACACTGACAGCATTAATCAAAAAAAAATGTATAACACTGAAGTTTGTATAAACAGCTTAACCTAATTCAAACGTGAAATGTACGTTTATTTTTAAAGAAAAATAAATCAAACTAATGCTTACTTAAAATATGCAGATTGATAAGAAACTTCCTAATCGAGTATTTAATTATTAAAATTGTGTATATTGGGACTCAATAAAGGCAGTGTGAGTCTATACTTAACTATTACTTCCAAAAGTGTCGCGATTAAATAAAACACTTTCTGGTTTTATTGGTTTTAAAACAGCGTTGGACCGATATGAGAATCTATCAGAAAATACATATACCTAAAGAAATCAAAGCATAGAGATTAGTACAACACAAAGCAAAGAATAAGTGTTATTAATTAATTTCAAAATGGATATGGGTAAAAAAGCAACAACTAAAATGTATATTTGTAAGTATTTTTTAAATACCAAAACATAAAAAATTTCTCGTCTTATTTTTAGGACAACACTAACCAAAAATGACCAAAACCAATTATCAACTCAAGTTAGTGTTGAAAGTAACCTAGATCAACCCTACAATCCATATGATCACAGAACCCTGCAACATCCAAACACGTAAGTACAAATCTTCTTTTTTTTATAAATAGTGTTTAGTATGTCTTTTCTATATTTAGATATACTGGGGCATTAATACACATTCTAAAAGGATCCCTTGGGAGTGGATTGTTAGCAGTTCCAAGGGCGTTTATGAGTGCCGGACTCCTGGTAGGAGTCATCGGCACGATGGTTGTTGGATTTATTTGTACATATGCGATACATCTTCTGGTACGTATTTTTAGTTTTTCATTTTCATTAAATTAATAAAGTTGATGATACAGCAAGAACAAACACAATATAAACCCAAAGCCTATATATACACTTGCTATAAAATAATATAGTAAAAAAATAGACCCAAAAGAAAAATAAGTTATATTTCTTCATTATGCTGTTTGGCCAGTGTATATCCATATATAATGTAAAGTTAAAAGAAGAAATTATATCGTATAAAATAAAGTAAAATATCGTAAAGATAAAAGAAAACATTTTTATTGCACTGACACTAATACTTAATAAGTTATTAAGTAAATAATATAACAAAAATAACTTAATATTGTATGTAAGAAAACACGTTCTGAATGAAAGTTATTATGTAATGAATATAAATGTAAATTCACATAAAAAATTAAAATTAATACTGAATATTTCCTTCTCTGCGTTGTATTACACTTTCCATGAATCGCTTTCCAATCTTCTTCGAATGAAGTTTTTAGCTCCGCCAATATCGCTGGTGCTGGATTACGGAACCGAACCCTACGTTTAAGTTGCTCGATGGGATTCATATCCGGAGTCAATGGAGGCCAATCCATTGTTCTTATATTGGTGATTGTCCGGTAATGTTTCGTAAGCAGCGCTGTGTTATTTTGAGCGTTATCAAGCATTAGCATAAAGCCGTCGCCTATGTGGCAGGCATAAGGAACAATATGGTCTTAGGAATATCCGTAATGTAACGATTCGTTGTCAAATCCCTTTCGTGACAACCATTGGACACGAACACAAGCTCTGGTTTTTCTTCTAAAGGTATACCACCCTCAAAACATACATGAACCACCTCCAGAACTCACTGTTTCGACACTGCAGCACTGAGCAAATCCTTTTCAGAGCCTCCAATAGACGCGTCGTCTTGTCATTGTTATACAAGTACATTTGACCCTCAACAGAGAATAAAACTTTGCTCCATTGGCCAAGGTCCCAATTGACGTATTCTTGGGCAAATTGAAGTCAAGATTGTTTCTGACGTGAGTTTAATTTGGGCCCTGTGTTAGCTCGTCAGGGTGTCAAAGTGGCAGCCTTAAGTCTTGTTCCAACTGCCCAGTGAGTGACAGTGACACCTTGTACATTCTTTAAGGATTGTTGAAGCTCAACTCATATCGGGTGCTGATTCGATGAATGAATCGATCATCCCTCTCTATCGTTACACGTCGCCGACCCGACATGCCTTTCCTTACTTGGCTGCTACTCTGTTTCATAGTGTTTTCCTATAAATTTTTTATACGGACTACATCTATTTTATTTTGGTACATCCCCTTTTTTATACCAGCCTTAGTGTTTATTAATTCTTTAGGAAACCTGACTTATTTCATTCTAGCTATGTAACAGAGTTATACACCAAGTTGAGCGCGTCAACAAAGATAGAGAACTGCTAAAGACTGCTAAACATCAAAAAATGTCTTATCTGGGACATATAGTAAAGGGGAAGTCGATATAAAATACTACAACTGATTCTTAAAGGCAAAATAGAGCGCCGTAGAGGTGTGGGAAGAAAACAAGTTTCTCTGTTAAAAAACATTCGTGAATGGACTCAGATACCAAATGCAGGACAATTATTCCATATTGCAAAAGATAGAGAAGCCTCCGCAATGGTGATCGCCAACGTCGGATAATTCTGATATGGCACACGAAGAAGAAGAATCGAGTTATCTTAATCTTTGAATTTTAGAAAGGGTCGCTAGTTTTGGTTGTCCATAATATTTGAATTAATTCGGTATTGGTTCTGTTTTACCAGTTGTTATCCTCTTTTAAACCTCTCTTATATTTTGCTATTGTTTCCATTTATATGATTTTAGCTCCATTTATTTATGAAATATACAGATCTCGCTTGCATAAAACATCGTAGGTAGGATAACAGTTGTATATATTCGTATTTTTACCAGACTTACAGTATAAATATTACATTTAGCCAAGGTTTTTATGATTTGTTGCTATAATTCTTAAATAAGTTATATATTTTAAATAACTATCTATATCTTAGACTTGGACAGCCTTCGGCAAGCTAAACCATATTTTCAAATCGTCTGATATACCAATATGCCTTAAAAGAAAAACCTTTAATCAGTTTGTTTTGCCAGTGTTGACTTACGGTGCGGAAACCTTGACCATGGCAAGGAGAACAGTTCAAAAGACACGTGAGTGTCAAAGGGCAATGGAGCGTGCTATGTTGGGCGTTTCATTACGAGACAAGATCCCAAATCGCCAGCTACGACAAAGAATAGGAGTGGCTGATGCAGTAGAGAGAGAAGCAGCACTGAAATCGAACTGGGCAGGTCACGTGACTCGAATTACAGATAATAGATGTACAAAGCGGATACTGGAATGGAGACCAAGAGATGATGCCTACTGAAGCAGAGGTCGTCCACCAACACGTTGGACTGACGATCTAAAACGTTGTCATAGGAATTGGATTTAAGAGGCACAAGATCGAAATATATGAGGGAGATCCATGTCCAGCAGTGGATAAGCGAAGATTAAATGATGATTTCTTATATCCATACTCCCTGGTTTTTGTATTTAATCTGTTAAAAATGTCTTTTAATTCAGCAATTCTTCTTGTGATTAGTACAAGATCATTCGCATATCCTACACATTAATATCTATGGTGATGTATTTTACAATTGGTGTTGATTCTTCTGTTTAAATTAAAAAATTAAGTTGATGATCTATGGTCACGTTCTTGTAGGTCTCTGTTGATGTTAAAACTGTCCGATAAAATATATCCTATTATCTTTACTTTTAGTGCCACAAATTCAAAATATTCTAGTGCTTTAAAAAATTTATATTATTTTTATTGTATAATACTCATATCTGAAATCGATAAACAACCTACTAAATTAAATTATTATGAGGTAGATAAGATTTGTTTGATTGTAAAACTTGTATCTTTACTGATCTATTTGTTTTTAATCCTGTTTGATATTCGCCCAGATTCTTGTCAGCTTTGATTTTTTAATTTTATTTTTTATCGACACCGATGTGGCCAAAGCTACATTATCTTATGATGATATTCGTCTGTAGTTTTTACATTCTGTCAGGTCTTCTTTTCTATGTATTAGGAATAAGGTAGCTTCTTTTCACTGCTTGAGTACTTGTTCTTTAATCCACATTTCAGGTATTATTTCAGTGATTTCTTTTTGCAACCTTTTTTGTTTAATTTTACTGCTACTTCATCCAGTAGTTGAATTTGTTGGGTTAGATCTTGATTCTCCGCGTTTAACATTTGTTTAAAATATTTGGCCCATCATTTTAATTTTTCATCAATTGTATCTTTTCCTTATTTATCCGTTTCTTTACAGTATATTTTTTATGTTCATATTGTTTTTCCTTGTGCTATTTATTCTGGCTTTATTTGTCATAAACTGGTCTCTTATAATCTTCATTATACCAGACTCAGTCTTTTCTGTCTATTCCTTGCTAGTATTAGGTCGGCTGCTCTTTGTATTTTTACTATCTTCTTCTTAGTTTCTTTTTATTCTTTATATATAATAAGTTCGTTCTTTATCTTCGCTTTACTTTCTCATTTACGTGCAATTTATTTGCCTTATTCAATGTCTTTAAAATCGTGGGCTTTGGTTACAATATTTTTATTTTACTTTTCAGAAAATTTACTCTTCTCCTGAGTTCTAAATTTTCCTTTATTGAGTTACATATTTGATCCAGAAAACTATTTTGGTATATTTGAATTGCTTTAACTTTGCTCGTAAGTAATATTTAGTCTATATTTAAAATATTATGGCAAAATATTGTAAAGGGAACTAATTTTATCAGGGCACAGCGAACCTAATTTAAAATAAGAAAAAAATTAAATAAAATACGTAAACTGTAAACTTTATTTAAATGCTAAAAAATTGTAATAATTAGTATAATTATTTCTGTTTTATTTTTAACCATTTATCAGACACAATTTATTTTTATCGCCGAAAAAAATTCTTGCTTAATTTTGGCTAATTTGGGTCTAAAGAAGTCAACCGAATTTTATATAATTTTTTACTTTACACGAGTGTCTATTTAAGTGGATCATGGATCTAAATATTCAATAAAACAATTGCGGTCTTTAACAAAACAACATTATAGTCCATTTTCATCATATTGATAGCACATTATGTATGTAAATCCCTAAACTGTTGATACGGGTGACTCAATGAAAAATAGATATTTGTCAACAAGTTTACAAAAGTAAATAGGAAAACATTTTAAATTGAGTATGACCACTAGGTATAAAGGTTGAAGCAGAATAGAATACAATAGTTTTGAGGGTTACTAATCTCTAAATAAAGGTGCCAGTGTCAGAGTGATGGAGATTAACAGGTACTAATGAATTTGCAAGAAATGTAAGATGTTTATTTAATTGATTATATATAAAATAATTTGTGGTGGTAACAGGGGCCGATTTGTAAAAAAATGAATATTATTTTAATCAAATTCCATTTCAGATTCACTGCTTTCTTCAGAATCTAAGGAATCTTCAACTCCAATGTTAATTATTACCGGTTCCAGCATTGCATCAGTCATATTATCCAAATTCCACATTTTATTTACTTCCTTGTGAGCATGACTTACAGCATTTTTCCAATTTTTTGGAGTTACTTTTGATAAGGAATGTTCTAATAATTGTTGTAAGTCTTCTAATTTAAAATTTTTGTTGTTGCGTCCGACTTCACCCTTTACTTGAGACTACTATATTTTCTATCGGATTCAGATCACAGTGGTATGGGGTAAACGTAAAATAATTACACCACGGTTTAATGCCATTTCATCAATTATATATTTTTTATAAGCTGCTTTATGTTGCCTTACAATAGGTAATAATTCCTTTTTTGTCAAATTCTCCTTGTACTCAATTGCGTGTTTATCGAACCATTCGATTATCTCTACTTTTTTCCATGCCGTTGTTGGCAATTTTTCTGCTAGTCTTGAATGGTAACTAGCATTATCCATGACTATGATAGAATTCT